TTTTAATCGCCACACTGGACTTGGCTGTCCATCGCAGGATCGTAGCTGTCTGCAGGCCACCTCTACGACAAATCTCGCAGGGAAATCCCAGTCGTCCCCTGAGTTAACGGTTCTTCCAACCGTGTACAGCAGAAAGCACCCTGTTCCACACGTGTCATCGGAAATCTCACCCAAGCTTACACGTGGTTCAGCTTGGAAGAGGTCCAAAAGATGCGTGCGGAAATGCCTGGTGAACGTAGCTCGCGCAAAATATGTTTCTGCCAGAGTTTTGTTGACGCGGAATAATGTTTGAAAAGTTCGACCTTCTCCCCGCAAGCCTGCATCCACTAGTTACCGCAGACCACAGTCAGCCCGCCAACCTGCAGTATTAGGAGACGTGTCTGGCCGATCAAAACTCTTCGCACCTGTTGTGTTCACTTGACAATACGTCAGACTCCGTTTGCCAAGTATTTTATTCTGCGAGTCCGACGTTTTTCGTCGACTTCGTTTACCAAGTTTGTCGTTTTAAGGTTTCCATGTTTCTCGTAGCTCTTACGTTCGAGGTTCGGTGGCATCCTATTCTGATACGACAATAACTGCAGGTCGGCGTCGGCTAACAATGGTAACTGGTAACGCAGGTATGGTGGTCGACTGTCAATGATCATCGACATGATGATGTACTTTTTTGGGAGAACGTGGAATTGGGTCCCGGGTCAATTAAAGTGTACGAATTATTTCCCGAATAAAATTACTTATCAGTTTATCGGATTACTTTTATTGCCTCCTGATATAATACAAAACGTTTATGTTGAGTTGATGGCTATAAAACCTGCACATGAAAAACTTGATACATTTTTTGATTATGTACTTGAAAATTATATTGAAAATGATAGTAATTTTTACCAACAATTTAGGCAGATTTTTCAGCCACTTCAGAACGAACAACAAACTGTTGCGAATCGTTTCATGAAAAACTGAATTCTAGATTTTATTCCGCACACCCAAATATTTTTTATGGATTGAACAATTAAAAGCGGTGCAATGCGAAACATATATAAAGCAAAGAAGCTCACTTAAATTAAAATCGAAAAAAAATAGACAGTCCTTAGTCTGAATAAATGGGAAGGAAATTGTTGCTGTTTGAATATATCATAATAATTTGAAAAGTTAATTTAACAAGACTGTATTATCAGGAAAGCTTACGGGGACCAATTCGTATGTTACCTGTAGACAACCCGGGAACCAATTCGTAGTCGTCCCTTTTTGATAGTCGTGATGCATTCGTACATAGACCATAATATTTATTCGTTGTAAATTGTAGTACCTACTGAATATTATTATATGTACTGCAGAGTGGTGTGTTATTACTTATTTATAATATATTTTAGCATTTCTATTGCAGTAAACGAGTAGAGAATAATCGAGCAGACATATTGCAGTTATAGCAGTTGTTAAGTTGCTTGCTAACCACTAACACAGTGGCTACACACTCTACATTGTCAATATCGTTTGTAATTTTGTACTCGTATTATAATAGCATAATATAAAATAGAAACTCTGTTGCGACTATACGAGTGTTTGGGTTTTCGTATATTATTCAGCCGACTCATTTTTTGATTTTAGTAGTTTTAATAAATATTTGGTTTTGAATATTAAAATGACATCAAATTGCTATTGTTTTTCGATGACATTTAAAATTAGAAAATGAAAACACATATGTGTTTTATAGCAGAAAACCCAGAAAGTATACTCTAGTATTTTACTCGCCTATCCTATTTACAAAGCAGTTAAATCGAACTACCTGTAGTACATGTTCAGTGCCACTAGGTATATATATATATATATATATATATATATATAGGTACTAGGTAGTGTATAAAAATAAACTTACCTACTTGGAACTTATATGGTTATCGCGTTATGATAGTATGTAATAGTTGTTTAAACTTATGTATTCAACATACCTCGTATTTTAAGACTTAAGTACAAGTACCTGAATGTGTTAGTTTTCTAGATTTCGAGTTGAAGCTGCGTCGTTACCGTCATTGGAAATATTTTCTGTACACATATATTATTATGTCTCACTATAGCTGCAGTATAACACTACATACACCGCGAAATATATGATGTATTTGTCTGATTGCGATCTGTCGTCCGTTTTGCACAATATGTCGGTTAGAAAATCTCAAAACGGACACTATAATATTCAAAGCTTGACAATGGAGAATGGAAACTGCGCGCAAGTCGAACCAGGGAACCCTTCAACAATAATAAATTGATAAGCTCGCGGTGCATTGTGTTGTGACAATTAAACGCCGCCGTTGTCGATTGAAGTCCTTTTGTCCCGTCGAACAGGTGACAAGACGTCTGATGGCTGAGTCGGTCCCCCGTTCCTCGTAATTTAATTATCCTTTCCCCGCCGCCCCAAATACGCGCTTGACGTCTTAATGCGTTTATCTCAAGTTATAACCTGCCCAGCTTTTGTTCAGCGACGCCGCGATACAATATAATATAATACACCCGATAACATTATGCAAACGCTGCAATGACATCACAGTCAACAAATGAGTTTCGTGGCATTTTCCGCACTCAACTACTCGAGTTGCCGGAACAGTGCTTGGGACTTATGTGTCTGTATGATATGTATTGCGTTTGCGAGTTTCACGGGTGTTCAAAACTAGTGTCCGTTTTTGAGTTTTAAAGGTTAAGACGGCCTGCAGTGGCGTGTACAAATTAATTTTTGACAAACTTTCCGTCCAGTAGTCCCAAATGCTGTTGTTGTTATTGTACCTAATAATGTTTGTTATCACCTCGCCACCGAGCTGTACACGAGTTATCATCCTGCCACCGAGCCGTATACAATTTATCGTCCCCGCACCAACGGGACCTTACGCCAGCAGTTGTTTAAAATCTATAATCCATCGACATTCATGTTCGATATTTCTCTGTATCTCTATGATACCTTACGCGTGGCTAATCTATTGTGCCACTGCTTGTGGAAAAAAAGGTAAATATTTCTTATAATATTTGAAATATTGTATTTTATTTATCGGATCTACCAAATGAATATCATATATGATATGGCTTTTGCGTGCTGAGTCTGGATTTTTATATCTTATATGCAATTGGAATTTCGAATTTCTATTTGAAAAATAGTAATTATACTTGTTTCCCCTTAAATTATTATTAAAGATGGGACTCGCACCATCCATCGACAGGTTCGTTTTTACAAAAATCAACGAAAATATGAGACATAACAAATAGTTATAGAAGCTAAGTACAAAATATTATAATTTAATCAATAATCTTATCAAACTACTGATCAACGGGGTATATAAACAGCGAGTACCTATACGATTTCAAATAAATTTAGCTCGACGAATAACTGCAGTGCTTTGCATAACATGATAGAAACTAAAAATATGTTCGGGTAGTCCGCTGCAGTTTGATCTCTCGGCACATCTCATTCGAATAAAATCGAACGCCGCCGTCGTCGTATTTACTATTATTCCATACCAACATAATACTATAGCATTGTATGATATAATAATAATACTGTTGGGCACGTAAAAACACACTCGTCCTACACACTCAAACGTAGTATACATGTGATGTGCGGCGGCATTTGAGCGCGGGGACCCGGAACGAAAATAATAACATCATCTGCAAAGAGTTAACGGTGGTTTATTGCCCAGATGTCTTGAAAGGGTCGTTAAAATCGCCTGCGTGTGCAATATCCGGAAAGCTCCGCTCTGTCGCGCCGTCGACGTATTTTTTTTGTGTTCCGTTCACATTTCCGGTGTACGAACGGAAATTTCCGTACAGTGTTCGCGCGTGCATTTGCGAGAAGTTTTCATGCATTTTTGAACGAGTTCGATTTAGTTCGCATGTACATATTATTATACTCTCGTCGTAGACAAACAGCAAAAAAAAAATCATCGTGTACGTACAATATAATATAGGGGTGAGGAATATTTGAAGCGACGGGACACGTATAAGGGCAGTACATCACCGGGGGTTGCTTCGCGGAAGTCACGTAACAATGGGCGGGCGCGATAAAGCAGACTATAGCAGTATATGGAACGCTGATAAAAAATAATGTACGGCCGGTTTATCATTTTTACGAGGCCGCAAAAACTTCGATGGTAAACTTATCGTTTTTGTGAACGGTAAATATATACTGCTGCCTAAAACTCGCGTAATAACAAATCAGCCGAGGAAATGGTAATTTTGAATAATGCGAGTCAGACTGCGCAGTATATATATATAATACAATATTACATTATATATTATACGGTAGCTACTTCCTGCCAAACTTCTTAAACAACCGATGAATAAATTAAGTATGTGTTTAACATATTATATGTGCTGTGCACGACATAAAATTAAATTTTAGTTGTTGTTTATAATATTAAGTTAAGAAAAACAGAGCTTTAGTTCTTAAACCGTATATTTAGAGATTACGATGTATCGCTAAAGGTGTTTTTGAAGAGTATATAAGAGTAAATGCTTGCATCGCGCTGTGTAAACTTGCGTTACACAGCGTACAAGTATAACGAGATAAACGTATAGAATACCCGTCGAGTTTTTCCTCCCGGAAAAGTCGACGTTCAAATAAATCGCGTCAAGTCTGTAAAAATAGATTTTGTTTCACTCGAATTACACGGGTAAGTATATAGGTTAATCGAAAATTAAATAAACAAATAAAATGTCCATATAGTGGTACCAACGAAATACTTAATATATATTTGTTTTTAATCATATTATTATAATACACATGTCATAATATAATATCATATAATACCTACTACCAGTGTTTCGTCTTACTGTTAAATATCATAAAATTGAAAACAATACAAAGGTAACTTAGAACATTATTTAAATCAACGAGAGATCCTTTATATAAGGGTAAAATTAATAATACATACATACTTACAAGTACTTAACACTAAACTAGTATACTATATATATAATATTATTATTATAAAGTATAGTTTGGTAAAGATAATTTTGTTTTCATATATTTCGAAATTTGGACAAATGGAATAATTTTAAATCATAATATACAAATGTTGAAATGTATAATATTATAGTATTTTCATCTAAATATTTAAGACAGCAAATAGACACTATTTGATTGGTGTAATTTAAGCAACAACAACAATAACAAAAAAAAACCATTAATGAGTAATAGTTAGATTAACATTTTTTCCCTTTTAATTGCACGAGATTAAAATGTATTTTTACACTGTAGCTTGTAAAAAAAAAAAAAAAATGGAAACAAAATTGTAATTTTATACTACGAATAATACCTTATCGTTGTGACTAGCCAAACAGAAATGATCTGTCTGTAACGATTTGTATTCGTCGAAAAATCTAATAATATTATGCGCAGTTATAGGTATCAAGATACTAGTGGGCAATAAATAACAAAATAGTTCTAAAATCAAATTTAAAAAGAGAGCGGTTTTTGAGGAATAACACGATGTTATGTTATCATTTTACATCGTATAATTGAAGCTGAGATTGATCACCATTCGTGGTGGCGCCTGATCCACCATACTGGTGTCCATTGCTGGTGGGCGCTCCGTGATGGTGTCCATGATGGTGATGTCCATGGTGGTGTGAGTCAGTTGGCGTTGCTCTACGATCACCAGCTCCGTTGCTTCCCGCCGCCATGGGCAAATCTGCTCTACCCCCTCCACCAACCTACAACAAAATGATCGTTTTACATTGATTACAAAACATTAAATAATCGAAAATAAAAGAAAACGTAGAGAATTTAGCTGACCAAGTAAGTCGTAAGTCATAATATAGTATTTATATTGCATTTAATATCTACATATTATATTCAGAATAAGAACAGACCGCGCTCGAGCATACAGATTCTGAACAGAGAATAGAGTTAATGAGTTCACGACATACTACATAGGGTGACTACCAATAGTAACATAATTTAATTTCAAAAAAAAAATCTGAATCTGTACAGATTAAATATAGATAATAAAGTAGGTAAGTATCAAAATTTATAATTTTATCAAAACGTAGAAAATATTTATTTTGTTCAGACATTTTTAGCTAATAAGTAATAATACCATAGTTGTCTATACTCTATAGTTTTAACCTAACGGCTAACCTGTCCACTGTGCATATTACATTTGCTTGCTTAAGATGCGTTTAAAACTGCACTGTCCGCACATTTTATTATTCAATTAAGTTAACTGCTAATATTTTAGCAATAATATACATAAAATAAAATATACAACGTGACAAATTGTACATTCACAATAATCTCTGTAATTTATAAAACTAGAGTGAGTCTACTTATTATAAAAAATAAAGGCATTAATTATCTAGGGCACCTCGGAGGGTTTTATTGATATTATTATTTTTGAGTAAGTTATGATAATTTTAAAATGTACAAAGTAAGTTTGTAAGATGGAGACAACAAATTCCTTGGTGACAGCCTCTTAAGTAAATTTAACTGCTTATAAAGTAATTGTTTATGTATAGATACATACCGCTGGTGGTATGTGTGTGGCATGACGTTTTAACTGAGCCAAAGTAGCTGGATTGTAAGCCATGTTTGCAAATACCATTCTCTCCTCGAAATCATATTCACACAATATTTTGTTTTCGCACAGGTAAAAGCGGTCTCCGACACAAAATCTAAAATCAACATTAAATACAACATTAAACAACCGTCAACTGTCTCAAAAATAAATCGTCTCGAGTATTATATGTATACATAATTCGATTGCAATTATTTGAATATAATATCATTAAATCTATTTATTATGAAGTGTATGGGCAGTAAAATATAAAAACCTGAACATAATATTGAGAAGGGGCTTAGAGATAAGAGATAATCTTGAAATGTAATCTGGGTGTACGTTAATAATCCGTTTATTTGAGGTACACATAAATACATAATACATTAATTAGTAAAGGAAAGTCGGGTTGGAAATTAATTTTGAATTGATTGAGCTAAAAGGATTATTGTAATAATGTAAATTAAGGTTCATGATTTTAATTAATACTGTATTGAATTACTATTCATACTTTAGAACACAGTAGACATAATATATTAGGTATGTCAAGATACTAATAAAATATTAATACTATATTATGTATATACGGTTAAACACTTATATATGAGTATTTTTCATCTCCATTTTATTTAGGTTACATACAATTCAAATAATTGTAACACTTAAAATAATTGACAAAAAAAAAAAAATGCAAACAGTATAACAATAAATTATTTCAGCCTGCAGGGACGATTCAAACTCCAATAATAAAGTTTCATTTTTAAATTAATGTGTTACAAGTAAATAAAATCAAGTCCAGAGGAAATCTTAAAGATAGGGTGCGTGTTATACGGGAGAAATAACATTTTTTTTGATAAATCATATTTGGGGAGTTCGTCTTCTAACGTCTTTCATATACATCATCACTGCGAGGGTATACGTTTCCGGTGGATTGTTTATTTGAAGTTATTTGTTTTACCATAGCTTTTGAAAATCTTTAAATCAAGTTTATGTGAAAACAGTTTATGAGTATAGCTCGATTAGATTTATAAGTCATTTAAAGGTCGTGCCCAGGGCAGTTATGTCATGGTCCGAGGGCGCCCCGGATTATGTCTTTATTGTGTCGATAAATTAAAGAAACTTTGGCTTCCACTTTTTGCTACTTAATAGCATTGTTTTCGATGGGAAAAAAACTTGAGATTAATAACTGATTTATAAAAGTTTTAAAAGATTATTATTATACTAACGTCCAGACATTTGTCTCTCGCCTTTTTCACTAAATCGGTAGTTATACATTTATTTATTTTGCATAAACCTTGATGACTGATATACAGTGACACGTAAACGGAAGGTTGTTGTATCAAAAATCATTATAAATTCTCATCAAGTTCAGGGAAATGGTCGATAAGAAGTATTCATATATCATCATATTCAATGATCGAGCCATTTGATTTTAGATACCGAGTGAAACGAGAAATCTATTCTAGTTATCTATGTTTCTATATAGATTTATATCGAAGAATATAATAAGCCATATAGATGTACGGAGGTTTTATTAAATATATTTTACATAATATTAATAGTGAGACTAATTTAGCGAAACTTAACAATTGATTTTTTAATAGCATAGTTTATGCGCTGTGAGTACATGATGGAATACTTGGTATAGTTAGTACCCGAGTATTCTAAAAAAATATATCATTCAAATAAATATGATTTTAAATAAAAGAAGTTTTTCATCACATTTTTTTTTCTTTACTGAGATTCCAACTTAAAATTATTGTACCTCGACAATTACAGAAACGTGTATCGATGAAGCTAAGAATTCAGCAAAGAAAACTATACTACCTACTAATACCCATTTATATTTCACAGTCATCTTGATTATTTTTAACTTAAAATCGAACTCAATACCTATATTTGAAAATAAATCAACGGAGTGATGAACAAGCGAAGTCCTCACAGCACTTCTTAAAAATAAACTCGATCGTTATTCATGATGTTATCTGTAACGTCCGATGAGCTGTATACTCGTGTGCGATTTTTAAAATCCGTAAACTCTACTCGACTCGCGCTATTCGTCCTGCACCTGCCACGTACTATCCTGCCATTTTTCCGCTACTCCTGCAGCCCGACGACGCAGGACGCGCGGCGCGTGTCCCGAGTTGAAGCGAGTTTCCCTCTCACTACGCGGCATCGCGTATAGTTCGACTTCTCTCACACGGAAATCCTTTCACGCGGATGGCGACGATTTAAAAACAAAAACCTCTCTTCCAGTTTCTCGGCTTGATGCGCGTCTGCACCCGTCGAATAATTAATCAGCATATATATATAATATATACTCGCGCGTTTTCTCGTCCTCCCGTCGCTGTATATATTATATTATTATATACGTATTTGCACCATATCATACCCCACCTCCATCCACCACTCCAGAAAATCAAGTTTCGTTCGCATTTAAAGTTGCATGAATAACTTTTAACACATTCGTCCCTCTCTCCGCCCCACTTACATCGCCGGCAGCTCGTCGCTCTTTCCCTATGTATTATATTTAACAGGACTACTCCTGCTGATGCTGCTGCTGCTGCTGCTATAGCTGTTACGTCTAAGGCACTTTACGGTGAATAATCATTAGGTAACAACAGATGACGTTTTGGCTAAACGGAGAATACATTATCCAGAGACGCATGTTTTAACGAAATCTCAGTGTGTATATATATATATAAAGACTCATAACGCCCAAAAACGGTAAGTCTCTACAGCATCAAATGCGTCAGCCTGCCGCTCGATTTCTTCTCTACCACGCGGCGCCCGCGATTCTGTCGAAATAAATTAGTCCACACTAGTCAGTATTCATAATAATTATACAGTGTTATGAATTATGATAATGAAATACATCGAATAGAGAATTATTATGATTTGTTTGTTTACCCGGTGCAGTATATAATATAATGATAAGTCTATAAGACGCATAGTGTGTGCATATACTTGAGTGGACGAAATTGTTTCCGAGAAGGCGTGTATAATATTATTATTATTATAAATTACTGCATTAGAATATTTTTTATAAAACGGCTATACCATAATATTATAGAAGTAGTTATATATCAATTAAAATTCGTATGTTGGATGTTGATGTAATTTAAAAAAAAATAATAATTTTGATATTTACAAACTTGCATACATATTTTGTATCGTATAAACTGTTGTTGATGTACGAATTATTGAATATTTGATTTGATATTATGATTTATTATACTATTTTATATAGGTATCATATTTTTGAATACTTGTCAAACCAAATCAAATGTTAATAATTTATTTATTTAAAAAATATTCTTTTCGATGGCCATATTATTATACATGACGGATATAATATCAAGCAGACGTGCACTATATACCGATAGTGTGGTAGATTATCATATTCTAGAATACAAGGCGTATAAACAAGGCGGGATAACTAAACACCTATGTTATTAAAAAAAATAATTTGTGAAATATGTCTGTTTCATTCGTGGAATGTGATATTCATGACTTTGAATAGTTCGTGTTAATGTTCTATGGACTTTTTGATTGTACTGCTAATAAGTAGGTAGGTACTCTAACAAAGTTTGGTTAAGAGATCTTGAGATCTTAATGATTCGATAGTGTGGAGGGCCACCGAAGTACTGACGTCCTTTAATTAACTCTTCTCCCATGTTTATTGATGTTGGTTTTGTTCACATATTGCAGTGCGCACAGGAGACCTCCTATATACACACACAATGTACTGTAAAAAAGTTATTATTTTAAATAATAATATTCCCTTGTGTCAGAGTCAGATTGAGTAAAGTTGCCTCGAAGGGTTTGAATGAAAACGAAATTAATTCATGTTAGTGTTTAAACTTAAAGTGTGTCTTTAGTTTTTAATAAATTATGAAATATGGCTCAGAAGAACTTATGCATATTTTAGACTATTTATTTTTGGTTACTCAATGATTATAGTTTATACATTAATTTCCTAATTAAATGATTTGTTCAGTAACTAAATTTAAGAAAATGATTAAATTTAAGTTTTGGTATATTATTTTTTTCAATAGGTACACAGAAAGGTATCATTATTGTAATAACCAATTAAAAAATATGATGATAAATAAAATTTTTTTGATTTTCGAACTTAAGTATGTGTTGTAAAAGAATCAACGCAATTTTTGTTAACAAAACTTGGTAATTTTTATAACTATTTATAAACTATAATGCAGGTTTTTTATTTTTTCGTTCAACAATAATTACTTAAGACTTTTAACAATTTTACGATAAATAACTGTACACAAATGCTCCATAGTAATTAATATATTTCTTTATTAATAATACCAATTTTATAGCACCTACGTATAGTTAAAAACCCGGAATTTTTAATAATAACGTGATTCAAATTTAAAAAAATCGAAAATCTGGTTAGTTAATAAAATTTAGGTTCAACTAAGTCTGGGTCTTATTTTTAAGTCTCTTCGGGACTTTACAAAATACATTGTATAAAATAATATGTCATATAAATATATAATATTATTATGACCCTATATCGATGCCAAAAAAATATCTTGAATTGGTATTATGGGATATCTTATAAACAATAAAAATTGTTTTAAGGGTTTTAATAGATTTCGATTTAGATTATTTAACACATTTAGTGTCAGTGAAATTGAAATTTGCGAAAAGTAAAACATTCTATCCTAAAAATAATCACGCACATAAAAAAAACAATTTTTGATTAGCTATTTATTTTTATGTGTTACCAAAAAAAAAAAATATTTATTATATTAATTCACCACATGAAGTGTTGGTATTTTGTGGTTCATCAGCGTATACCATATAGGCGTGTACATTTGGGAAGATTTCCACCCCTGTAACAGTGATAAAACTAAACGACTAACATCATAGAGGAGGGAAAATAAAAAAGAGAAATGTTATCAGTTAAAGGCTTTTTTCTCGAATTCTTTTTATGAGTCTCTCACGTTTTCCGTCTTTTCCATCATGCACAAGAATTATTACCCTTATCTAAACACGCTGTTGTCATTAGTGTGGGTGCAATTTCCGAATTTCATCTCGGTCGTGTTGTTTTTTTCGATTCTTTTAAATCGAAAGCAATTCTTATCAACT